GAAAATTATATTGGATTGAACTTTCTATTAGTTTTTGGGCGATTCTATTGAAGGATTCCGCAGCTTACCTATGCGTTTTTTAAATAAAAATGTTCATTGGAGTATATTTTATAGAAGGAATCAACGGAAAAAAATTCAATAGATTTTTCTGCACAACTCATTCTTTTGAGTTATTTTCTATAAAAAATTCTCGCGTGTTTTCTTATCGAAAATCCGTGTAGTTTTTTTCCATTCCCCAATCCAACTCATATCCCGGTAAACATATGTATCTTATCAACGGGAGATATATGTCGCAGCATGTGGCACATGAACACATGTACATAATGTGCGAATATGTAACTAGTAGATATGAATTCCTGACAACTCAATTCTATTTTCATTCAAAAATTAATCATCTCGTAAATTATACCTGCGTATGAGTTATTGATGATGTGTGGGTGGGGTGAAGAGGCCAATGGCTGGACGGTTAAGGGAAATTCGAATTTCGTGGTACGATCTAAGACACCACGAACTAGATTAACAATTTCTCAGAGTCGGAAATAAATTGAGTATCTTTCCACATATTTTCTCACATACCGATACCCAATTTTCCCCACGAGCTGTTTTGGATTCCTCGCCGGTTATCCATAAACATTCCGAGTGATAGTGATGCGGCTAAATTTGAAACATACGTAATTTCTCTTTCACTTTAAAAACGTGCGTCGTGTGAAAATTCATCGAATGCCTAACCGCTTTCGCAATGAATTGACTCACACCAGAGATTCTTTCTTGAATTCGATAGATAAAAGACTGAGTTTGTTTTTAAAGTGGAATCTCATCGACATTTTTCCATTTTTTCCGCTTCATTAACCCTAGTTGGTCACCATATGAGAACTTGCGACTTGGTCACCTTCACAGGGAATCGCCGCCGTGTTATTTAGGCCCGAGTGTTGCCGAATTCACTCTATACTGCCCGGGCGCGTTTAGCGAGACTTCGGCAACGTCGCACAACGGGCAGTTTCATTTAACATGGGAAAAAATTGCCCGTCTGTTAGAAATAATTTTTTTTCTTCAGGAATTGTGGATATAAATAATTTTAAAAAATATTATAATTTTCTAGACACTTGAATTGACGCATTCCAATTTTTTATGATTTTTCCGCTCAGTCAATCAATGGTAAGAAAAAAAAATCGACCTTCTGCGGCGTTTCCCTCCTATGGTGACCAACTAGGGTTAAGGCTGATTACACGTGCATGTCGATATGATACGGTTTCTGTCAATTTAATTCGTTCGAGGATTCCTCGTATGTGTTTCCAAAAACTGGATGATTTTTTTTATATTATAAAAAACCAAATCGATTTCTGGTGATAAAAATTTGCTACTCGAAATTAAGGTTCACGAGAGTCAAAATAATGGCCATGAAGGTCAGAATAAGGGTCACGAAGTTCAGAATCAAGATCATGAGAGTCAGAATAAGGGTCACGAGGGTCGGAAAAAGGTTCACAAGGGTGAAAATAAGGATCACAAGGGTCAGAATAAGAGTTACGAGGTTCAAAATAATGTTCACAAGGGTCACGAGGTTCAGAACAAGGGTCTTAACGGTCACAGGGGTCGGATTAATGGTCGTGAGGGCCAGATTACGGGTCACAAGGGTCAGAATAAGGATTACGGGTGTCATGTGGGGGTTGGCGAGCGGAGCGAGAATGGGGCGTAGCCCCCTAATAAAATAATAATAATAAAAAAAATATTGCTCACTTTTTTCTGGCTTGAACGTCAAGGAGACACTAAATATCTAATTATAGCACTAAAATATATTCATTATTGGAGGGATTATCAAACCTCCATCTAAAATTCATTCAATTCAAATTAATTCATTAGAGATTTAAAAATTAATTCACGAGCTGATGTCGTTATTATTCTTTCATCGGTGTGACTGCTCGTTCTTCATTCTTAATATTCAAATATATTCTACGCATTTTTTTATTTCCTCATTCCCACGGTTATTTATGGGATGTTCAGTAATATTTAATGGATTTCTCTCCCTTTCCTTATTTAATAGGTCATTACAGAACTGAAGAATTGTTGACAAATGTCAATTCGTTTTATTCTCGCCATTAAAATAATTCGGGAGATACGATCTCCCGTATTACGTGTACGAATTCCTATCCCGAGAACTGGATGAATAGAATAATAATAAAAAAATATGGCTCACGCGCCTTTGAAAATTCAACTATTTAATTCATGAGATAATTAAAAATTAATTCCAGCGTCAGTATTTTCATTATTCTTTCATCAATTCCATCTAATAATTCTGTATTTTTAATATTTGAATTTTACCTTAACAATTTCTTTATTTTTTGCATCAAACTAATTAATAATCACATTTCATCACAGAAAATCTCGAATTTACGATATATTCAATAATATTCAATAGATTTCTCTCCTTTTCCTTATTTAAAGTCATTTAAGAAGTGAAGACATGTTGACAAATGTCAATTCGTTTTATTCTCGCCATTAAAATAATCTATGCGCATGAATTTTCAAAAATTGGATGAATAAAATAATGAAAAAAGAAAAAAATGCTCACTCTTCTCTTCCTTTTTGAAGGTTGATACACTAAATGTGAAGTTACAGTATTAAAAATGCAACTGTTTAATTCATCAGACAATTAAAATTTAACTCAAGAGTGAATATTGTCATTATTCTTTCAAGGACTCCGACTAATTATCCGTCATATTTTAATATTCACATATATCCTACCCGATTTCCTTATTTTTTTTGCACCAAACTAATTACTAATGACATTTCGACACCGAAAAGTCTTCCTCCCACGGTTATTTATGGCACATTCCCTAATATTTAATAGGTTTCGCTCCACTTCCCTATTTATGAGGTCATTAAAGAATTGAAGTTGTTAGATACATATCAACAATGACTGCATCGTTCGTGCAAATTGACAAATGTCAATTCGTTTGTTCCCGCGATTAAACTGTGTTTGGCGATGGGAAATCTTCCTAGAACGCCACATGTTAACAAACAGCTCTATTTTATCCACTCGTGCAAACAATCGTGGGTTTCCAGTGATGTCTTTGTAGAACTCCTCTTTCATTTAATTTCCAGGTAGAAACACAAAATTAAAACCGATGCAACGCCGCTGAATTTTAATTTCTTTTCAATCCTCTTCGGTTTCTTTTTATCTGCTTCCTTGTGTTCAACTCGGCCAGAAGTCGAATTTCACAACAGAATTTATCGTTAAGCGCACTAATTCGGGAAAAACGTGATGAAGTGAGAATACGAAATCAGTGGAGGAATGTTTTTATGAGATTGCAATGTTTTTTTTTTCGATTGATAGTTTCCAGGAATTTGGAATGTTTTTTAAGGCGGGGAAATGGTTATTTAAAATCAGTTGGAATTCGTGAAATTCATTAGTGAGGAAGCATTAATAGGAGTTGATAGCGGATGAATTATAACAAATTCACTGATAGAAAATTATCTCACATTTTTTACGTTAAGGATAGGAGAATCTGAATGCAATATAGTGAAAATGATGATCGATGTTTCACTTTGAACAAATAATATTAATATCCAAATACAAAATTTCTAATATGAATAAAACGAAGCTGTGACTCAATATTCCAAATGAAGTTTTAATTTTTAATTTGGTGCTGAGAACACGAGATGACAATATTCTAAGCACGGAATTATATTGATGAGATGAACAACAGATTAATTGAATTACCGTGTGAATTAACTAAAAATTGATAACAGTGTGGGCACGCACTTTTACCAGAGTATCAACAACCGTTGAATTCCAGAAATTCACACTCTAAAGTGTGTTCTAGAAGGAATTAAATTGTAATTATGATTGAAATCTTATTCAGTGAGCTTAGGAATTAGAACATGAGCAAATCATTTATTGTAATATGAAAATTTAACAGTTGATAAATTGGGACATATGACTCTCATCGGTCATATTGCTTTTTACAATGAGAATGATTATAAATAACTAATTGAAAATTGGATTTAGTTAATGAAAAAACAGTCAATTTCTGGAAAATATTCTTGGAGTATCAGAATAGTTAATCATGAAAAATGTTGAAGCAAATACTCAAATATTCGTCAGTTGAAGAATGTTTTTATGAGATTATAATGTTTTTTTCAATTTATAGGTACCAAAAATTCTGAATCTCGTGTCTAATGAGGGGAAACGATTATTTTAAATCGATTAAAGAGGAATTTATTCGTCATTATTAATAGTAACTAATAGTTTGGGAATTCCAAAAAATTCAGATTTCTCATTTCTCAAATCATATGAAAAATTCGTCACCTTCAGACAGTTCCACTAATTAAACATTATCATTAACTGAAAAATGCGATGAATGCAAGACGTCAGTGGAGAAATATTTTCACGAGATAATGTTTTTTGTTTTCAATTGATAGGTGCCAAGAATTCAGAAAGTCATTTTTCTCTTAAAAGGAAAGAAAGTCATTTCCACTCGATTAAAAGGAATTCATGGATAACTATTAATACGAATTAACAGGTCATGAATTGTTGAGAGAATTTTTAGTACAATTTCTATTATATTTTTTATACAACACTAAAAAACCTTGAAATCGTCTATCTTTCGCTCTGTGTCTATCCATTCCTCTGGTAACCCTATAAAAACCACTGAAAAATAAATCCCCGCGTAAAAAATCAGCTTTCCATCATAAACAAAAAAATCAACATCCTCCCACGAGAAGAATGAGAAATCAATTTCCCCAACCCCTGAGCCCTAATAGCCCCGGAGCAACTTTTTAATGAAAAAAAAATACATACGTATTGTCTCAGATGGATATTCGTCTACCTGAGAATAGCCGAGTCAGCAAGGCCGCGTAGGGCCCCCGTGGGGGGATAGCAAGGGGGTAGAGTAGCGGCGAGGTGGGGGGCGGGAGTCGGCCCCGCGGTGAGGCAGATGCGCCCGCGTTGAAGATGAATGAATGAAAGTATAAGACAGTCGTAAGGAGGCATTCAACAAAACCACCACTCCATCCCAAATTCAAAAACATTTTCTACCTCCACCCGTGCCCTCATCCACTCGGTTTTTTACAATTCAATTGTGCCCCTGTGATTGCATAAAGAGTTGATACTTTTTTCCGTTTATTTTCATTTCTTCTTCGGTATATAATGCCTGCGGTTTTTTCGACACCAGTGAATGGCTGTCGGAAAGATTCTGTGTTTTGGTTTTTTATTTTAGTCAGTAGTTGATATTCGCGAATATCTTCGTGAATTTCATCTGCAGAACTGAGTAAAACAGTGATCTTTGAAATTGTGAAGTGCGAAGATTGAGGGATTAGCTAATTCATCCGACTTTTGAGGACTCTTTACCCGCGAATAATGCCGTCAGTGCATGCAAATCATCACGTCAGGGTGGGAATGCCTAGGAGTCACTATCTCTGGCAGCCCTGGCTCAATTTTGACATTAAAAAAATCTTTGGTACGTATGACGTATGAGAGTTATCGAGAAACCGATGGGTTTCATTTTTTTAATATTCATAATTGTGAAAAAACAATGAAATAAGAAAATTATCAATTGTTTTCGTCGATTAAATAATTGAACAACACGAGAATATCAATATTCGATGTAAAAATAATTCAGATTCTTTATTTTACCTCTCGAATGTCATTATCTCTGGCAGCTCTGGCTCAATTTTGACATTAAAAAAANTTCGTCATTATTAATAGTAACTAATAGTTTGGGAATTCCAAAAAATTCAGATTTCTCATTTCTCAAATCATATGAAAAATTCGTCACCTTCAGACAGTTCCACTAATTAAACATTATCATTAACTGAAAAATGCGATGAATGCAAGACGTCAGTGGAGAAATATTTTCACGAGATAATGTTTTTTGTTTTCAATTGATAGGTGCCAAGAATTCAGAAAGTCATTTTTCTCTTAAAAGGAAAGAAAGTCATTTCCACTCGATTAAAAGGAATTCATGGATAACTATTAATACGAATTAACAGGTCATGAATTGTTGAGAGAATTTTTAGTACAATTTCTATTATATTTTTTATACAACACTAAAAAACCTTGAAATCGTCTATCTTTCGCTCTGTGTCTATCCATTCCTCTGGTAACCCTATAAAAACCACTGAAAAATAAATCCCCGCGTAAAAAATCAGCTTTCCATCATAAACAAAAAAATCAACATCCTCCCACGAGAAGAATGAGAAATCAATTTCCCCAACCCCTGAGCCCTAATAGCCCCGGAGCAACTTTTTAATGAAAAAAAAATACATACGTATTGTCTCAGATGGATATTCGTCTACCTGAGAATAGCCGAGTCAGCAAGGCCGCGTAGGGCCCCCGTGGGGGGATAGCAAGGGGGTAGAGTAGCGGCGAGGTGGGGGGCGGGAGTCGGCCCCGCGGTGAGGCAGATGCGCCCGCGTTGAAGATGAATGAATGAAAGTATAAGACAGTCGTAAGGAGGCATTCAACAAAACCACCACTCCATCCCAAATTCAAAAACATTTTCTACCTCCACCCGTGCCCTCATCCACTCGGTTTTTTACAATTCAATTGTGCCCCTGTGATTGCATAAAGAGTTGATACTTTTTTCCGTTTATTTTCATTTCTTCTTCGGTATATAATGCCTGCGGTTTTTTCGACACCAGTGAATGGCTGTCGGAAAGATTCTGTGTTTTGGTTTTTTATTTTAGTCAGTAGTTGATATTCGCGAATATCTTCGTGAATTTCATCTGCAGAACTGAGTAAAACAGTGATCTTTGAAATTGTGAAGTGCGAAGATTGAGGGATTAGCTAATTCATCCGACTTTTGAGGACTCTTTACCCGCGAATAATGCCGTCAGTGCATGCAAATCATCACGTCAGGGTGGGAATGCCTAGGAGTCACTATCTCTGGCAGCCCTGGCTCAATTTTGACATTAAAAAAATCTTTGGTACGTATGACGTATGAGAGTTATCGAGAAACCGATGGGTTTCATTTTTTTAATATTCATAATTGTGAAAAAACAATGAAATAAGAAAATTATCAATTGTTTTCGTCGATTAAATAATTGAACAACACGAGAATATCAATATTCGATGTAAAAATAATTCAGATTCTTTATTTTACCTCTCGAATGTCATTATCTCTGGCAGCTCTGGCTCAATTTTGACATTAAAAAAATCTTCGGAGTGTTATCGAGAAACCGATGGTTTTTATTTATTTTTATATTAGTAATTAAGAAAAAAAAACAATTAAATAAGAACATGAGCAGTTGTTTTCGTCAATTTAATAATGGAACAAAACGAGAATATCAACATTCGACGTATAAATAATTCAGATTCTTTATTTTACCTCTCGAATGTCATTATCTCTTGAAGCTCTGGCTCAATTTTGACATTTAAAAAATCTTCGGCACGTATTACGTATGAGAGTTATCGAGAAACCGATTTATTTAATTTTTTTAATATTCATAATTATAAAAAACAATGAAATAAGAAAATTATCAATTATTTTCGTCGATTAAATAATTGAACAACACGAGAATATCAATATTCGATGTAAAAATAATTCAGATTCTTTATTTTACCTCTCGAATGTCATTATCTCTGGCAGCTCTGGCTCAATTTTGACATTAAAAAAAATCTTCGGAGAGTTATCGAGAAACCGATGGTTTTAATTTTTTCTTATATTCATAATTAAGAAAAAAACAATGAAATAAGAACATTAGCAGTTGTTTTCGTCAATTTAATAATCGAACAAAACGAGAATATCAACATTCGACGTATAAATAATTCAAATTCTTTATTTTAGCCCTGATTACCCTTTTACCCTCAATTTTGCATTAAAAAAATCTTCCGTAGGCATTACGTATGAGAGTTATCGAGGAACTGATTCATTTTATTTTTTAAATATTCATAATTATGAAAAAACAATGAAATAAGAACATCATCAGTTATTTTCGTCAATTAAATAATTGAACAAAATGAGAATATCAACATTCACCGTAAAATTAATTAAGATTCTTCATTTTACCTCTCAAATGTTATCATCTCTGGCAGCCCTGGCTCAATTTTGCATTAAAAAAATCTTCCGTACGCATTACGTACGAGAGTTATCGAGAAACCGATTTATTTATTTTTTTAATATTCATAATTATGAAAAAACAGTGAAATGAGAACATCATCAGTTGTTTTCGTCAATTAAATAATCGAACAACACGAGAATTCCAACATTCACCGTAAAATTAATTAAGATTCTTCATTGTACCTCTCGAATATTTCGAATTGCCTCCAATGGGAGGGTATTTTCCCATATTTTTTCAGTTATTATTGCTGAAGCCTTCGTGCTGCACCCAAATTACCCCTTTCTCATTGATTTTCGTGTGAATTCCCTATTGAATGATGTGTGGAGGGTGCACCGAGGGTATGGGAGAGTTAAAAAGTTAATTGAGACCGGCTGAAATAGTGGGGGAGGGGGAGGGAGACGCGGCAAGAGAGGAACAACAACAAGTATATCCGAAAAACGTATCCCACCTTATCCTCGAGAACGTTCCATTCATCTTTCCAGCATCCCATCGTCCTTTACGAAAAACCTGTTTCGAACTGCCCCACCGTGCATCCTCTCACAGCTATTAGGCACTTCCTGTCCCGTCCTGGGAACCAAACGTTGCATCTCAAACTACTCTTCCCCTTCGTGCCTCCTGACCCCCCTCCCGCCCCTTCCCCCCACCTTTATTTTACCCTTCTACGTTTTTTTCTCGTGTGTGAATGGAGGAGATACAAAGTTTAGGATTTTTCGAGATTCAACATGCAGATGGACATTCTCGAGTGCATGCAGCGAATGAGATAAGAGAGGAGGAGAGGATGGAGTGGGCTCAGTTTTTAGATTTTTCGTTCGTTATTGAATTCTTATGATTATGACTCTGTCGAATTCCTCGGTTCTAGGTTTAGATTATTTATCGTTTGTTCGGTCATGAGTTTTATTTGGGATAGTTTATCGTTTATTCGGTCGATTTGGAAATATTCGTTGAGTGTCATTAGTTCTTTGTTGATTAGGGAGAATGATTGTGTATTAATTAATTTTTCTCATCTCGAAATCGAGGGGGAGAGAATTTTTGGAGAGGATGATGGAAAATTTCTTTTATAGCTTATGCAATTTATAATAAAAAAGTCTTTTTTTTCTCTAGTATTATTCACTAGGGAGAAAAAATTGTCTTTTTCTTATGATTATGAATCTATCGAATTCTTCGTTTTTAGTTTTATATTATTTATGATTTATTCGGTCATGAGTTTTATTTGGGATAGTTTATCGTTTATTCGGTCGATTTGGAAATATTCGTTGAGTGTCATTAGTTCATTGTTGATTACGGAGAATGATTGCGTATTAATTAATCTCGAAATCGAGGGGGAGAGAATTTTTGGAAAGAATTGTACAAAATTTCTTTTATAGCTTATGAAATTTATAATAAAAAAGTATATTTTTTTATCTAGTATTATTCACGGGGGGGATTGTCATCTTCTTATGATTATGAATTTATCAAATTCTTCATTTTGGGATTTAGATTTTTTGTTATTTATTCAGTCAATTTAAAAAAACTCATTAATTGTGATTTATTGTTTATTGATTACAAAGAATGAATGCCTAGTAATCAATTCTTCTCATCTCGAAATTGTACGATTTTAGGAGAGAATAATGAAAGACTTCTTTTGTAGTTTATGAAATTTATAATTAAAAGGCTCCATTTTTTTTTCTACAATTATCTACCAGGGAGGAAAAATTGTCTTCCTATAATTATGAGTTATCGAACTCTTCGTTTTTATTTTCACATTATTTTCATCATTTATTCAGTGGATTTGGAAATATTCATTAATTGTAATCAATTCTTTATTGATTACAGAGAATGGAATGCGTGTTAATTAATTTTTCTGGTTTCGAACTTGAAAAATTTTAGGAGAGAATGGTGAAAAACTTCTCTTGTAGCTTATGAAATTTATAATAAAAACATCTCTCCACCTTTTTCTCTAGAATTATTCCCTCAGGAAAAAAACTTGAGTTCTCTTCTCTTCACTAATTATGTTATAATTTACACTCCTAGGATATTGTTCCCTCCCATTGACGATAAAAAAGTCAGCTGGCATGTGAAATGATATAAGACAGCTTTAGATTTTTTGTCCGTTATGGAATTCTTAAGATTATGAGTTTGTGGAATTCCTCGTTTTTAGGTTTAGATTATGTGTCATTTATTCGGTCACGAGTTTTATTTTGGACAGTTTATCGTTTATTCAGCCGATTTGGAAATATTCATTAAGTGTAATCAATTCTTTGTTAATTACAGAGACTGAATCCGTATTAATGAATTCTTCTCATCTCGAAATCGAAAGATTTTTAGGAGATAATGGCGAAAGACTTCTTTTTTTTTATTTTTTTATTTTATAATAAAAAAGTCTCGATTTTTTTCTCTAGAATTATTCACTGGGGGGGATTTTCTTACTCTTCCGATTATGAGTCTACAGAATTCTTCATTTTTAGTTTCATATTATTTATCATTTATTCAGTCATGAGTTTTTCTTCTAGATAGTTTATCATTTATTCAGTCGTTTTGAAAATATTCATTAATTGCAATTGTGTCTGAACTACAGATAATGGATATCTATTAATTAATTCTTTTCCTCTCGAAACCGAACGATTGTAGGAGAGACTGTAGAAAGACGTCTTTTACAATTTATGAGATCTTTAATAAACAGTCTCTATATTTTTCTCTGGAATTATTCACTACAGGGAAAAAATTAAGTTGTTCTGTTCTCCCCACTGATTATTTTATAATTTACACTCCTACAGGATATTTTCTCTCTCATCTTGTAAAATAAAAAAGTCGGTTGGGATGTGAAATAATATAAAACAGTTTTACATTTTTGTCTGTTATTGAATTCTTGAGATTATGATTCGGTCGAATTCGTCGCTTTTAGTTTTAGATTATTTATCATTTATTCAGTTGATTTGGAACTGTTCAGTAATTCTAATCAAGTCCGAAGAAATTTTTCCTCCCATCTTCTAAGATTAAAAACCGAAATGAAAGCCGACTGGGATATGAAATGACATAAAACAGTTTCGATTATTAATCATTTATTCAGTTGATTTGGAAATATTCGTTAAGTGGAATTAATTCTTTGTGGATTACAGAGAATAAATGCGTATTAATAAATTCTTCGCATCTCGGGATCGAACGATTTTAGGAGAGAATGTGGGAATGTGGGAAGACTTCTTTTACAGCTTATGAAATTTATAACAAAAAAGTCTTTCCATCCTTTTCTCCAGAATCATTCACTAGGGAGAAAAAATTGACTGACTCTTCACTAATTACTTTATAATTTACAGTCCTGAGAAGTTTTCCCTCCCATCATGGGAGATAAAAAACCGAAATGAAAGTCGACTGGGATGTGAAGTGACATAAGACTGTGTTAGATTAGTTGTCCGTTATTGAATTCTTCTTTTTTAGCTTCAGATTATTATTTTTTTTATTTTTAACGGAATTCGTTGCAAGTCCGAGAACTTGCAACTGGCTATCGCCCGAGGGCCTTCAGCCAGTTTCAGATTATTTATCATTTATTTCGTCACGAGTTTGTTATCGCAGATTTAGGGATGACGAAGACAATTTGAATTGGATTTTGATTGGAATTGCCGATTTTTTTCAGAGAGGGTACATAATACGTGATTTGGAAGGATTTATTAATTGTAATTAATTCTTTATTGATTACAGAGAATTAATGCCTATTAACCCTTAAGTGGTCGCAGCTCTCCACCGAACGTAGTTGGTCGCACGGTAAGAGAATCCTCGCCCCGGGTATTTTACGATTTCGAGAGAAAAAAAGTTGTACAAAAAAAAATTATTTCACGTTCACAGGTAATTTTGATCTTTCAATGAATAAAAAATGGGGGTATGGAAGGAGTTAAATATGGGGATTTTCAGCGAGTCGAGTTTTCAGAAGATTTTAATAATCCATTGGTGCAAGTCTGGATTAAAAAAACAGATGCTGATGTGTTCCATATATTTGAAAGTAGGAGTACAAATTTTTATGGATTTTTTATTCACAAAGTTTCCGAGTGAAACAAAAAAATTAAAAAACGGCGGGGGTTCCCTCATTATGCGACCACTTAAGGGTTAATAAATTCTTTTTATCTCGAAATCGAAAGATTGTAGGAGGGAATGTGGAAAAACTTCTTTTATAGCTTATGAAATTTATAACAAAAAAGTCCATCTTTTTCTCTAGAATTATTCACTAGGGAGAAAAAAATTAGTTGTTCTGTTCTCTTCACTAATTATTTTAGAATTTATCCCCTAAAAAAATTGCCGTCTAAATTTTGGGGAAATTTTACAAAATTGAAAAATTATCTAAGTAATAATTTATCAGAAATCAAAATAATATTAATAAAACATGAATATTATTTTGATATTTTTAATGATTCTTTGTTTGAAATTTCTTCGCCTTGGGAACTTTTGGAGTCGTAGGAGCATAATGATTTATTCAAAATCAAGTGAACTATTTTTTTATTGTTTCAAATTCCGATAAACAAGAATGCACGAGTCTGGGAGTGATGTTTTTGGAGTTTTTAAAAATTTTATTCCAAATTTCTTGGAAAAATTTCTCAATTAAAATAGTCAATACAAATCAAGTTCCAAAAATTTCAATGAATTCCGTCGTCCGTTTGAAATTTCGAATCGGTGACAGAATGGAAATAATTATGACAATTAAAATGACTGTTTTGAGTCTTTACCTGGTTCAAAAACCAAATCAATACAATTATTGTTTTTTTTTTCAATTTATTTGAATCTAAAAGTTCCGAAGACTCAGAAATTTCTAGATCCCCTCAACAAAATAGAAAAATTCCGTCAGGGCGTGATGTACTTGAAATTTCTTTAAATTTTATTCCAAATTTTTTGGAAAAATTTCTCAATTAAAATAGGCAATACAAACCAATTTCCAAAAATTTCAGTAGATTCACTCGTCAGTTTGAAATTTCGAATCGGTTACAGAATAGAAATAATTATGGCAATGGAAATGACTGTTTTGAGTCTTTACCTGGTTCAAAAATCAAATCAATGCAATTATTGATTTTTTTCAATTTATTTGAATCTAAAAGTTCCGAAGTCTCAAAAATGTCTAGATCCCCTCAACGAATTGGAAAAATTCCTTAAATATTAATTTATCCAACAAAAGATCAACTTGTGATCATTAAAAAATGAGTATTATTTTGATATTTGGAATTACCTTTCGTTTGAACGAGCTAATAAACAATTTTTTAATTCTGGATAAAATTCTTCGTCTTGAGAACTTTTGGACTCGTGTTAGAATGATGATTCATTCAATATCAAGTGAAGAAATAATATTTTTCATGTTTCGAACCCCGATAAACAAGAATGCACGAGTCAGGAGACGATAACGAATGGTTTTTCGCATTTATTTGTGCAGAGGAGAGGCCGAAGACGACGAGTCTGCATAGAAAACCGAGCAGTGCGTGGCGGCGAGAGCGTAGGAGGGATCCGATTCAGAGTGAGGCCCTCGATATGTCCGCTACCCGTGTCCATCATCACACCAGGCCCAGTGTTATCGTTCCCACTGCACCTCAACCTGGTACGGAATACAAATAATCTCATTAATCCCCACTACGAAATTCCATTCATGAGAACAAAGTTCGAATGACTATCATCGTGATGAATACTTTACAAATTGAGAATAAAATTTGTTATCTCAATGATGACGAATAATTCTGTGACAATCGAATGATTCAATGGAGTGGAAACTCATCAATTCCATTCTGTATCAGTGCAAAACGAAGTTGTAAAATAGAAATGTAATGAGTCATGTCACATGACTATTTTTTCAAATCACATTTTTCTTGAGTGAAGTGAAATTATTCTGTTCGATGGGAAACATTATTGCTGGGACTGAGGAAATTTATGAAGAAATGTCTGGAGTTTTTTTTAGGTGAAAAAATTCTCTGTAGAAATGTCTTTTTAAAAGCATTTGTAATTGAGAAGAAGTTTGGATTTTTTTTGTTGGACATGAAGTGAATTGTTTTCAGATGAATTGTTTTCACATTTTTTTTCAAAATTTGATAATTGTGAGGTAATTCAGCATCAATTCGGTTGCAAAGTGATGAAATAAGATGAATCCACTGAACTTTAGTCCACGTTTTTTATGAATAACTCCAAATCTAATGAAGATAGCGATATTTTTGTGAAGACCTTTTTTGTAGAGATGAATGAGAGCCACAAAAAAGGTTCCCACGAAAATTTGTCTACCTCCACTAGATTCTGAGATATTCATGAATAGCTAAAGGATGATTTTTTATTAAACATGAAGTTGTCTTAATGACGAGTGATTTTATGAGAAAATATTAAAATATCATTTGTATAGTTGATGTAATTTTGTACAGATGAATTTTTTCACATATTTTCTTCAAAAGTTGGGTATTATGGGGATTATTTATCATCAATTTAGTTGAAAAGTGATGAAATAAGACGAATACACTCAACTGTAGTTCACGTTTTTGATAAGTAACTCCAAATTTGATGGAGATAGCAAAATTTTCATGAATACCTCGTTTATAGAGCAGAATAAGACCCACAAAACGGGTTTTTACAAAAATTTATCTAATTTAGCTCAAATTAATCTCATTGGAGATTTAAATCTGAAATGAATTCTAAAGTTGGGTTTGTGTTCAATCGACACTCTAATATTATTGATAATAACTAATCTAGAGGTCCAAAAATAACACAAAGTCTTATGAGAAAATCAATTTTCCATCTTAGGAAGAAGATTGAAATCTTCAAAAAATTCCGAAAAATCAGAGAGAATAAATAAAAATTCTGTGTCCAATATAAAAATTATCGTCAGTGTCAATCTTTTGTTATAAATAATTTATGTTTCTGCGTGCTTGAAATGGCGTGTTATGTCGAAACACCCTAGTCAAACGAGAGACTATTGTTTAAAAAAATAATTGGAGAAAGAATTTAATGGATAAATTTCAAAAAAAAAAATTATCAATGGTGAATACATTTTTTGGGCTTTTTGGATTCTATTCACACTATTCCAAAGTGATCAACACAATAAATTATGCTTTATTTTTTAAATGAATTAAGAAATGAACGAAATAAATTAACGAAATTATTAACAATAGCGATAATATTATAATTAATAATTCATTGATTGATTCATTTATTTAGGGAATAAATTGATGATTTATCCTTTCAATCTCAGGAGCGACAAGTGACGACACAGCTGTGACACCTACCCCAAGTGCAACCCCCTCGACAGCGATAGGCGGCCAGAGAACCGGAATTAGAAATCCGTCTGGTGTTAGTGATCCAGCCATAGACGAGCACTTCAAGAGATCGTTGGGCCTCGCGGAGTACGCCGCCGTCTTCAATGCTTCCTCCAACGCTGACAGAGAGACAGGACTCAGCGGTAATTACTCTCATCCCTGCAAGACCCTGAAGCTTCCTAATCCAATAACAAGCTATCGAAACCTGTCACTTCCTCGCATTTTTGAATTTGCCTCGAGAACGAGCGGTTGTACGAGAAAACACCACAGAACCTTTTTTGTAGCCGACGAAATTTCCCACAAAAAATGTCTGATGATGATTTTTCGTAGGACCACCCGTGAAGGAGATAATGCCGCATTTACCAAGACTGAAAAATGGCCAAGTGCACAATCGTTTTGTTTTTTTTTATTCAGTCGTGTTTTAATGATCGATTATTGAATTGGATTGTTTTATAAAAAATTATTTGTTATTCCAGTGGACGATCACTTCGCTAAGGCCCTCGGCGACACATGGGCGAGGCTGCAAGCAAATGGAAACAAGGAGTCAACATAACGAAAGCGAAAAAAATCATCGAGAATCACAAAAAAAATATCTGAAAAAACTTAATCCCCTCCTTCTTTCCATTAGTTATTATTTAGCTACTAACTCACCAGCTAAATAAGTACGTTAGGGTGGTATAAGTCTTACCAAGTGTCTGATGTACCCAAGTATTTCATTAATTTTCCACTTCACTAAAAACTAGAAAAAAAAACAAAATGCTGAAAACTCAATGAATTAATCATAGGATATCGAAAGTCAATTATATCGAGGATAACGTTAAAAATATGTTAAATATTGTACATAAAACAATCACGAGACTCTGGTTCCTCTGCAGCTGTCACAGTTGTTGCTAATTGCGAAGTAAATTTATTTATTATCCAATTTTGAAATTCCGGAGTTGTCAATCAGTATCGTTAAGATTTGGAGGTAATTGGAAATATGAAATATTATAGAGTTTTTTACACAGCCAGGTGTATCTGTTTACGTAATGTAAGGATAATATTATGTATAGAGTATACATTGTGATTATATGAATATATATTGAGGGAATGTATCCGATGTGATCGGTGGATAATTTTTCTGCGTTAATGAGAGGATAAAAATATTGAGGAATAAATTATAAACAGATATTACGAGAGTTCTGATGGTAATTTTTTTTTACCAGCGCATTAATTTGTTGAATATTGTGAACTATTCCCCCACATTTTGCAATCGTGCACGAAAAAATTTTATAGAAAAATTGCATTGCAATTCCAATTCTTTTTTTTTACATTGAAAACTTCGGGGGATTATTTGTGTGTTTTTCCTAATAGAAGCCTTTGGTGAAAAATATTCTATAGAAATTTTTCGACTCGAATTTTCTTTCGAAGATTTTTTCTCTGATTTTTTTAATGGAAAGAGGAGAAGAATGGAGCGAGAAAACTTGCAGAGAAAGGTAAATTATATTAATTATTTCTATCGGCCGTGTTTTCCATTAAAGAAATAGAATTCAGTACCGAAGTGGTAAAACGGCTTAAGTGAACTTATCTCCCAGTTGAGTTTTTGAAGAATATTTCTGAATCTAAGAGAAATAGCGAAATTCTCGTAATGACATTTGTTGTAGCTCTCAATCGGCTCTACAAAAAAGGTTATAACAAAAATTTTGCTATCTCCCTTCGATTTCGAGATATTAATTGAAAACTGGCCAATAGACAAAATTGACTTGTACCGTTTTACCACTTTGCTACTGAATTCAATAGAAAGAAAAAAGTAGAAATAACTTGAAAAAATTATCTCGAGAAATTCCTATAGAAAATGTCTCAATGAAAAAAATTGTTTAGAAAGAAGAAATTCTACTCATTTTCCTATAGAATAGTTTTTATTACATTTTCTATAAAAAAAATAATAGAATATGAATTAAAAGTTCATTATAAATCCTATAGAATTTTCTGTCGAATTCGCCAGGTATTTCAATGAAGTTTTTTCGTGCGACATTATTTAATGCCTCAGTAATTCATCTTCTAGTAATTAGGGTATTACCTCGGATAAACACAAGGAATACATTTTCTTTAACGGCGCAATTGGTTTTCTTGTATGTCTTCTGACATGGGAGAGTACCAAGAGGAGCAGTACTGATTTCAAATGGTGCTAGGACGTTTGAAAGGAACCCCAGCACTCACAGAAGTCAGTACCTCTGCCTTCTCACTTAATCGTCACTTCGACAAAGTTTTTAACAATCTCCAAGCTGGTTCATTCAGTCTTTCACGGGCTAAGGATTTTCTCCGTGTTTTTTTTTGTGGAAAAAAAATAATTGCACTCAAACACCGAAGAACATGCGCACGAGAGGAGTGCGATCAGGCTTTTGTCAGACGAAATACTACTGTTTTGTGGTTCTCACATTGTGAGGCTCAGATGGACTGATGCAAAGATGTATCACACGAATGTTGATTTTGAGCATTGCAATTTCCACAGGAAGGAGGCAAGCTGTGAGGTGGAGTGAGATCAAATGATTTTTTAATTCAGGAGCGAAGCGGTAAAACGGTTCAAGCGAATTTTGACGATTGGTCAGTATTCAATAAATATCTCGGAATCTAAGGCAAATGGCAAAATTTTTGTTATAACATTTTTTGTGGGGCGCATTCAGAGCTGTAGAAAAGGTTATTATGAAAATCTCGATATTTCCCTTAGATTCGGAGATATTCTTCGAAAACTCAGCGAAGAGTCGACTTTTTAGTGTTTTTCTTGTTTTTGTGGGAATTCTGGGGAATTTGGACTGTTTTCAAGAGCATTGGCTCATTTTATTGGACGAAATTTCACTTTTTGTTGAGTGTCTCGAAATTTATAAGGGGAATAAAGAAACTCATGGGGTTTTTACTACCGAATGGAAACTTTGTAATCGTCCGATTTTCGCATTTTGTAATTTTGATTTCAATTGATGTAGAGTGGTCTGAAACCTAGAAATACGAAATACTTCCTCTCATGTAATAAAGGTTTGTATTGAAGATGGGCTCAATCACACTCAAAGTCAGTAGTTTCGGGGACATTCAACTTTTTCTAAAAATCTGTTATATCCAATTCACGAAGAGAAATTTTCTAGAAAAATTGTAGTACGAGTACTGGAAAAAATCGCAATCCAGCGGCTGTGAAAAATTGTAGTTCTGTTAGGGTAAAATTTCTTGGTATTTCCGGTAAAATTTTTAGTGCCGGCACTGGAAGTTTTTCCTGGCCGTCACTTTGCGCCTCTTTTCCCGTGCTAGCAATAGAATTTTTATAAAAAATTTCTCTCCGTGTATCTTTAAAATTGCTGGACCGATTTCGATTTTTTTTAAATATTCGTCTCGATGTCCTCTCCCTAGATCAATAAAAACATACATCCGTTTAAACAAAGTTATATTTAAAAAATCTTGAATATCCTTGAAACTCCAGAAGCGATTTTTTTATGCTGTTGAAAATCGGTCTCTTTAGTGGTTCAGTATTTCTTCTTTGGTTTTGAAACATTCACCGAGAATTCGTCTGTTCTTCAGTTGATTTATACTACTTTGCAAGCTTAGTTCAGTTGAAATCAGTCTGCTTTATGATTTTACAAAGTATCTGTTTCACTTCGCCTTCTCAATAGTTTGAAAAGACTCATTTGTTTTGGAGAACAGTAACTTCGCCTTGTTTTCAGTTTTTGCAGAATATTTTGCAACATATGAGGGGAATCTCAATTTTTATAGTCAAAGATTTTCTCATAATTCTCTCATTCTACTCATGGGGTTTGGGATTTGGGGTTTTGCATGAAAAATTTTATTACGGGATATAAAAATTGGATGAACAGTGTCAGACACTTATATTTTTTATGTGAATGCATAATGAAAAATCGAGGAGTTAAAAACGATTTTAAATCGCTGTATTACGGCGTCATAATGCATACGTTTTTATTATATTTAATTCCCGTTAACATCTCGGGTTTTCATGATTTCTCAAAATAAAAAAATCAAAAAGGTATCGGTTATTCTCCTAATAAAATAATTTCTCAGTTTCGTAATTTCATTCAATAAAAAAAATCATGCAACAACCAATTTCAAAATATTCATCAAAAACTCACATCTCAAGGAAAGTTGACTCATTCCGTTTCACCCACTTCATCACAACCGATAGATAAATTTTCACTCATTAAACTTAGCAAAAAAAACTTGAAAACACTAAAAAAGAGGCAATGTACCTCAACTAATAATTTCCTGCACCAATTTTTTATTCCCAACGTTAAAAAAATTACTTCATCAATGTATGACGTTGTGAACAAAATTTCATAGAAAAACCTAGTGAATTGGATAGAAAATTTTATTGGATTTTTATTCTGTTGTATTTTATTGAAAATTCTATTAGTTTTTGGTCGATTCTATTGAAGAATTCCGCAACTTAATTGCGTTCTCCAACAAAAAATGCCCAATAGAACCTATTTTGTAGCGAAGCGGCAAAACAATTTGAGTCGACTTAGCACTTAGCTGAGTTTCCAGGGAATATCTCCGAATCTAAGGGAGATATCGAAATTTTCGTAACAGCCTTTTCTGTAGAACTCATTCCGCTCTACAAAAAAGATAATGACAAAAATTTTTCTATCTGCCTTAGATCCCGAGATATTCATTGAAAACTGACCTTTCTTCAAATTCCCCCACCTGAATTTTCCTATTTTTTTCACTCTATTTTTCTTCTCTTTTCATTAAACAAATCGAACAAAAAACTTGGAAAATTTGAGTCTAGGAATTTCTATAGAAAAAAACCCAATTAAATAAGATCTATCAATTTTTTCTATTAAATATTTTCCGTTAAAAAATTCAATTAAAAAAAAAAATGCGCAAATAAGTTTCTTCAATAAAATCGACCAAACACTGAAATTCAACAGAAATCCAATAAAATTTGAAAAACTAGCAAATTCGGTGGTTTTTTTTTTGTGAATTTTTTTTTCGTACGTGGGAGAATGGAACTGCTGTTCATAACGCACTAGGGACGACATAGGTGGGCCCCGAGAGACGAGCAACCGAGAGACACTGTCCCAGGAGCGCTCGGATGGCTTCCTATATGCTGGCAGCCTGTTCACTTGCCGTAAAGCAAAATGGTAACTTAATATTAGACTTGAATATAAGTACGGTAATCCCACACCACAGTCCAAAGTAAGTCTACACCTATCCCGACGTCCTTCCTCCCTCCTCCCCGCGCCGGCTGTTTTTTTCTCCTCTCCTTTTAATTATGTTCCTTTTTTCGCCTCGTCCTTAGACTGTCGCCCGCCCTGAGGTGTAATAATGCCACTGGGTGGACACTGAACACTGCGTCCTGGGCAATTGCAACCTCATCTCAGTTATTGTCCCATTGTTTTCCGACTTTTGTAGTTTTGTTTAGTTCTGGGTTTTGATTTTTAATGGAATTGTAACTGAATATGACTCTAGGAGAGAAGTTGGCGGAACGTATTTCAAAATGTTACTGTGATGTTGAAGGGGGAAATGTGATATGAGTTTTCTAGCTCTCGAGGGATTTTTTTTCGTTTTTTAAACAATAGGTTTTTGCAAACAATCATAATTATGATCATCATGATTTTAATTATGATTGGTATTAAAACCTAGTTTGATAACATATATTGCAAGTTTTTTCTCCCAAATTAAGAACAGAGACTTTCACATTTTGTCATTAAATCGGGTGAAAAAATATAAAAATGTTAAAGTCATGAGAACAGTTCAAATGAAGTTTTGTAAAAAAGCTGTTTGTTTTGTGAAATTCCCTGCTTATGAATAAATAATGGAAGTCGTGTATTTACTATTTAATGAAAGGTGCTAATCCTCACAAATTGCAATTTTTCAACCACTTTATGAATTTCCCTTAAAAAAATTAGGCTTCATAATTTTTTAAATATTTTAAATGGTTGTCAACGGTTCGCACTGGTTATTAAAGTTTGCAATCGCTCGAAAATTATTATAACAAATCAGTTCGTATTCTCATCTTATTTCCAATAAAATTCTTCACCTTCAGTTGCATAATTCGCGATCATAAATCTCTTAAACTTCTCAACGAAATCAAATTATTTCCAGATCGCGAAAAATATTTGAGAATTGACAAAACTATTTGCTTTGTTTTTTCAAGCTTCATCGACGTCAATTGAAAGATGGGGAAGGGGTGCATGAAGTC